CTAACTCGATAATTCAGTAATATGTAAGTTCAATGCTCAAATTATATATGCATGCTAACTTTTGTAATATGTTCATAATTGGAACAATGGAGCTATGAATGAGGGCTTAATAGATCTTGCTTAAGGGTCTAATCACAACGTGATTCGAGGCCGATAATTAATGTGAATGAGTACATATTTTACATGACTCCCTAGTTCGAATAAAAGAAGATAATTTTAGTGTGTTAAAAAAAACACCACTCCGAAAGTGAGACTATTATGAAATTTTTCAAGAAATAGTGCAACTACAATATCCGGGCTCTATTGAGCGCAATATATTAAAAGGTGTGAACGATTTAGATATCTTGGGTCCGTTGTCAAAGCGATGGTGTGATATAGATAGATATAGATAGGGATGTTAATAGTAGAATTCAAATTGGTTGGTTGAAGTGGAGGAATGCATCAGGCCTTTTGTGTGATAGAAAAGTACATCTTAGATTGAAAGTAAAATTTTATAAGACAGTGGTGACCTGCAATGCTCCATGGCGTTGAATGTTGGCCTTTAAAAGAGAAGCATAATAATAAGTTAAGTGTTGCCGAGATGAGAATGATTAGGTGGATGAGTGGCTTTACACTTAGAGACAAAATGCGGAATGAATATATTCGTGATAGGGTTGGTGTAGCTCCTGTGACAGACAAAATTAGAGAAAGTCGGTCTTAGATGATTTGGTCATATTAAACGTCGACCATCTGATGATCCGATTAGGAGAGTAGATGTTTTAAATTTAACTTGTGTTAAGAAAGGCAGAGGTAGACCTAGGAAGACTTGGGCTTATTGTATTAAAAATGATCTTAATTTACTAGAACTAAATGAAAAAATGACACTAAATAGGACGCAATGGAGAAAAAGGATTCATGTAGCCGACCCCACGTAGTGGGATTAAGGCTTTGTTGTTGTTGTTGTTGTTGTTGTTGTTGTTGTGTATTGAGCGCAATATATTTATATTCAACTATATGATTGATTTGATCATATTTTTTGTGGAGAAAAATAATAAAATCATATAGCATAAGTGAAGTTAAAATCTCAGAGGATAAGCCAAATTTGATTGTATAGCAAGAGACAATTAACTGAGCGTGATTACGTGACCAATATTTGATGTGAATAGGTATAGATTTCACACGAGTTACTGAACCGAAAAAAAGAATACAAATTCTAGGTTGTTGAAAAAAAACTCATTTCAATAATGGGAGATTATTACGGGATTCTTCAAGAAATAGTGGTTTTGTAATATTCGGACTCTATTGAGCGCAATGTATTTATATTCAATTGTAACGAGTTTAATCATGTCAATAAAGCCATATAACATAATTGAAGTTAAAATAAACAAAAAATATGTCAAATTTGATTAATTTATTTAAACACGTAAAACCAAACAAATATATTACCTTAAATACTCCAATAGAGTAAGACAAACTTGATTGGGCAGTGGTCATCAAGAATAGACCAAGAGCGTCCATTGAGGTCCATACTATAAGTAAACCTACACTTTAATAGCAGAAAATTTTAGATTTTTTCATTTCTCTTTATTTTATTAAGGGAATACTTTAGTGGATGTTACTAGTTCATATGAAATAGTTAGTTATGATGTGGATGAGTTCAATTAAGATATAGAGGAGATAAATTTTAAGTCCAACATTCACTCTCTTAACCGATGAATCAGAATAAAATAAGTACTTAAAGGTTTTATCTTTTGCACTGTCTATTCAAGTGTTTTCGGCATTTACTTTTGTTGTTTCCAGCTTTAGTTCAGATATTTTTTGTTTTACTTCTGTCATTTTGAAAATTTACTTATGTTATTTTTTTTATTTTACTTCAGTTGTTTCCTGCTTACTTTTATTATTTCCTGTTTATAATTATTCTGATCAATTTATTTCTTCTAGTTACATATGGCTTCAGATGACAGCTTCTTCCAAAGGAAGAGAGGTAACTTCAAGGCCCACTGTCCAGACGAGCATCATTGTGATGATTACCACGATTGTGAGGATCACTATTGTGACCACCACAATGGTGCTTGTCAAGCTTATTGCTTGCCAAGCTTGCCAAGCTTGCCAGGCTTGTTAAGGTGGTGGCAGGACGATGACTTGCAAATATACATTGAGCTTGATGACGATTCATAGATAACTTAACTTATAATAATTGAAATTATTTGTTATTATATTAAATTAGTAATATTATTGTTTTTTGTAAGTTTTATCCATCTAGGCAGCTTGTCCATTAAATCATAGAGATCATTAAGAATTGATATGATGTTGCAAATTTGTCGTGGATGAAGATACTGATTTAGGTTCGATATATGTGGTTCAAGGAGTTTGAGATAAATTTAAATAAGTTTGAATTACATTTATAAGATAAATTTAAATAAGTTTGAATTCCTTTTATAAACTTAAGTTACTTTTTTTATAATAACTAACATTGTTTGATATTTAATTTACAAAAGGACTTCCAGCAGCATGCTTAATATCATTAGCAAATCCAGAAAAACTTCGAGACCTGAAGCCAAAATTGCTTGAGAGATGTTCATTGTTATCCACAAAAAAGGATTTATGGGCAAAGTTATCTAGAGTGTGGTCCATTCCTAGCTACATCAAGAAGGGGAGGAAAACACAACAAAATTGGTTCTTGGACTGTGGGGTCATGGGTGCCTCCTTACACACTGAAAGCTCTGTCCCACATATTGAGCATAGGAGGATGGTAAGATTTATTCCCTGTATTAAATTAAATTCGATAGTTACTTTTTTCCAAACCTTTTTATATGTTAACAGACATTAACTTTGACGAGAGCCCACAGTTATTGAATTGCATTCCCGCACACATCAACATCAGATGGACCAACAGTGGGTGATGATAGATCTTGCCATGTACACGTATGTTGGAGTAATTTTTGTTTATTTGTGGAATTTATTTATAATTTAATTTCAATGTTAATTACCCTTTTATAATCTTCAATAGGATGAGTATATGTGCCTAAAGGAGTCCTAGAGTCAGAGCCGAGCAGGAGTTTTTGCTTAGGTGGTCAATCTAACCATTATGACTTCAAGATCTAGAGGGAAGCAACTGGAGGGAGAAAAAATGGGAGGATCTATGACCTCAACACATAAGCATTTATCGTTGAGGCGCTGCACTCTAGTTCCAGCCAGAGGTCATCATCGGTTGATGATGAAATCTCCAAGCGTGTGGCCGCATTGACCGAGGAGTTGCAGACCACCTTCGTTGTTGAGATACGTGTAATGGAGTACTGGATGAAGGCGAAAGAGCAAGCCAACGATGCCAATTCGAGAGGTTCGAGGTGGTAATTGTGCATCTGCAACACCAAACATGTCGCAGTGGCAAGCGAACTTTGGTTGAGGAGCAACAACAGCAAGATTAACTTTTTTCGTGTAGAATTTTATTTATATTTTGTTTATATATTCTGCAGACACTATTATACAGAATTATTTATTAATATTTGTTGCTATATTTGTTATGATATCATTCAGTCTCATTCATTAGTATGACTGCTGCTACTTTCATTTTGTGGTTGCAAGTGTATAAAATTTTATTAGTTAACGACCCAATTTTTTTTTCCCGCAACAATTTTCAAATTGATTAATAGTTGAATGTTCCGTCGATGAAGCATTAACGATTGAAAATTTCAGCTACAAAATTTACGGTTGAAACACCAGTCATTAATATTATATAAATAGGTTGTAGTTCTCCATATATGAGAAAGCAAAGAGAAAAGTCTCCCAATAACATAAACAAAAGTAAAAATTCCCCAAAACAAGTAAATATCCTATAAATAGTTCTCAAATAAACTAACCCTAATTGTAATTAAAATAATATAAAAAGAGCTTGCGATAGCAAATAAGTTAGAGAATCTCATTGTTTGGTCCTTCACGGAACGAAGTACCATCCCACTCCGATCCAGCAATTACGAGATCATGGGAGATAGCTTCTGCGACATCCCCTTAGATGATGTGCCTCATGGCTATTGCTAAAATCATTAGTGTCTGGTTTAAGTCAGCTAACTTCTATAATTAAATAGATCGGAATGTATAACAACTAATCACGACACAACCATGAGATCTTGAGAGGGTTTACATCATTCCCCACATTAATGCAAGAGCTTAAAGCTTTTTTCTTTTCAAAAGAAAAAAAAGTAAATTGTTACAACTATAAGCTAATTATTTAACGTTAAACAACTAACCTTAATCAAAAGTTATCATATCTTATTCTTCTCACAATTTGAGAATAAAATATCTAGGTAGTGTATCGTCTAAAATCTATCCTAAATATTTAAAAAGTTGACATATAATAAACAAACTCTCTTAGAAGTGCTGGTGGAAATTTTTAGAGCCTACAGTATTTACAAGCTTCTTATTCAAGGCTATACAAAATCTGCAATCACTTTATCAAAATCGACTAAGAAAATACATGGGTATAAACAGTTAGTGAGGTAGATGATCAAAAACTTTACATTTAATAAAGTTTCTCTCACAATTGAATTCTTCTAAATGTTAGTTGGATGTGTATTTCCTTTGAGTAGAGTACAAGTGTAACAACTCAACTAAAGGTAAGGCGTCATATATTTTAAGAACTACCTTTTCCTTACTTGGAAATTTGGGCTCTTCATTCTGTTTCATCAAGGTAATTTGATATTGACTTAATTAATGCTTTGATTTAGTTTAAAATTTTAATTTGTGGAAGCTACATTTAACTGTTCACTAGTTTTACATGTTTCTGATTATTCACAGTTCTTTTTTAAATTTTTTTTATTATGCCATTGTCATTTGGTTTATAATTTCAGTATCACATGTATGCCTTTAAAGAAAGTCGATGAATTATTGCTTAGTGATATGTGAAACTTCAATTTTTTTTTTTGCATGTATTCATACTATGGATCGTATCACTTGTATTAACAAATTCTAACCATGAATTGAGCTGCATCAAAAAAAGAGTTCTGCATGAAGATGGGACTTACAAGCACAACAACTAAAAATCCTTCGTCCGCCTAATGCATTTACCAGTTCTTTGCCTAAGGGCCTTCGCTTCAACCATTCATGTTTTGCAGGTACCCAAGCGGCAGCTAGATCTTCATACAAACTCATCTGAACCACCAAGTTCATGAGAATTCCATAACAGATAACTTTGAACAAGTATGACATCAAATTGAAATATCAGCCAAGCAAAAGAGCAGAAGCTAAAAGTTATTACATATGGATTGTGAGCGAGATAGCTTTACCTCATTTCTGCTCTCCAATAGTTCCTGGATCATAACGTGACACCAAGAATATGCAAACATAGCAAGCTCAACCCATGCTTTACCCCTTACGGCTATTATTCCAGTATCAAGCAACGTTCGCCCGTCATGTAGAATAGCCTGACTTTCTATTAGTTCTTCCATCGATGGCTTTTGCAAAAGATTGTCAACCATACAAAGGGAATAGTTCTCATCCAAAACTCTATTTTTGGATGCAACAACAACCCCATGATTGGATGCTATATCTAAGGTGATCGGAACTGTGATGATGCATGATGCGTCATCTGGGAGAACTATGGTTGAAGCATCAAAAATAGGTAGAACATCTCCCGTCATTATCAAAATTCCCCCTACAGGAACATGATCAAGGAAATGAAATTCCATACAAGTGTGTTTTGATTCAAGAAATAAGTCTTAACAAGTGTCAGAAAAAAGATATGCAGAAATACTGGCTATTGATTCTACAAACGTACCAATTAGGATAAACTGCAATAACAAGTCAATATACAAGCAGCTCCTTTGAACTTTTAAACATGTATAAGCAATATGGCAAAATAATTTGCTCAAGAAGTTGATATTGTTCCTTAAATCTAAGTAGAGGCCCGGAAAATTTAGGTAAGCCAACGGAAAAAAGGTTTTCTGAATCATCATTACAAAATACAACTCCAAATTGATTCTATCAAATAACATCCTTGAACACATTGGATGACTTATAAAGCATGGATATAAACCTGGGCGTGTTCAGGGTGTCATGGCATTCCCAAGAAATACGATTGCTACAAATTAAATATTTATGTATATAGATTGACATATTAACGTGTTTACTAACAAATACAAGTAGGAAAATTAACAAAATAATAAATTGCTGTTTTTAATATATTATCAAGCACAATAATCAGTAGTAAAATCAACTCTAGTGAATGATAATATTGAGAAAATGATGAAAGGAACAAAAAGAGTGGGCGAATTAAATCAAGATATATTGTGTGATCATCTGGCCAGAGCTAATCATCTAATTGTTGCAAAGCTTTATAGCATAATTGGGAGAGTAAGAGGTTGAAAAGTTTTATAGTGGTAGTATGATTGCTATTCATCTAGTTAAGAACGTCATTTTTCATGCCAAGACGAAACACATTCAGTTCAGGTATCACTTTATTTGTTCTCTCCTAGAAGATGGTCAGTTATCTTTAGAGAATATACATACAGCTAGAATCCTGTCGATATGTTCACTAAGATGGTTATAATTGAGCAACTAAAGCTATTTTTGGCTTCAATTGTAATTCAAAGAAGGTTGAAACCATAAGTGAGCCGCATTGTTATACACAACTATGAAGATGATGCAATTTTGGAGAGGTGGTTGCAAATCAGACTTCAAGTGAGAGATTGTTATGTGTGTAACCGAGTTGACAAGGAACACCAAGAGGTTGTCCTTGTAAGTGGCAGCGGGCGGCCAAATGTCAGAACAGATGCACAACACCAGTGAGGCTACTAGCCAAAGGTTCATAGGCAAAAACCCATCGCCAGCAAGGGCGCTTACGTGCCCAGAAGACTCGCTTCCAACATTCTGGAATATAAAGCCAGGAAACTCGATGCACGAGGGTGGCGCCTATGCTCCTAGAACGAATTTTTGCAATTCGAGACTTTAATTTTTGTGTTTCTTCACTTTGATAGATGAATGTGAATAGTGTGAAGTAGTGTTGCCAGTTGGTGTTGGATTTATATGAGATCTCTTATGCAAAAGAGAAAGAAAATGAATGTTTGTGAGTTTCAAGAGGGTAGAGAAGCTAAATTTTGTAATTTGTACAACATCTCATTATTTCATATTGAATTTCTTAGTGTGGTATGTTTCCGCGGTTTTTCCTATTTTCGAATTTTGCCATATGAAATCATGGTGTTTTTGCATATTTTTCTGGAATTACTTGTTTGTGTGCTTCTATTCATTTATTTTATTTTGAATCTCTCGAATCGGCGTTCCGCATTTATCTTAATCCCATAACAGGTTCTCCAAGTGTCCAGATATAGTAATTCAACTCAGTGAATTGATTATCTAAGTTTTTTGTTTCCTCCCTTAACAAGATAGTTTATTTCCTTAAATAGTGTCTAATTGAAAAAGATTAGGCCCCACTTATTCTTCATCTGAAGGTTGTAGCTCTCCTTCATGGAATAGTCACTCTTGACTTTTCAAATTTACTCAGGTCGAGATCTCATGATTTTCACTTCATATGTTCATTGACTCATTCCTTCCTTAGATCATGTTCTAATAAAGAAAATATTCACTAACGCTAACTCCTTTAGAATAAGATCAATTTTTTTTAGCAAAAACTCATGAAATAAATGTTGTTAACTCGAACAAATTTTGTGTGTTCCAAATAAGGCAAGTCTCCCAAATGTGTTTCAAGAACTCGCTCCAAGGATGTGAGCTGAACTTGATTTTCAATTCATAGTTTTCTACAATCAAGCTAAAAAGGGTAAAAAAAACATAATAAATACTTTTTATGCAAAGAAATTTTTCAAGTTGTCTTCACTTCATCTACTGGTGACTTTAAATCTAGAGTGTATCTGTAAGCAATATGCTTTCGGCCCGACTTATTCTTGAACTATATAGGATCCATCCAAAGTTGATATACGCTTGCCCTTTAGGGATAGTCAAGCAATTGAGTCAACTTTATAGGCGGCGCACTCTGTAGAGTATGTTCAAATAAAAGTGCCTTTGTTTTATGTGTTACAAGAAAGATGTTTTCTATGTGATAACAAGAAAGGTGTCTGCTTTACGATCAATGATGGTTTCATCCTGAGAACCTATTGCATGCATAGCAAGCCGTCAATCTATTTTTCTTTAGCATCTTTAATATTATTTCATAACAAATTGAGAATGTGTACGTTGTCACTTCAACCCCTCGATTCATTTTAGGATGATGCACAGCGGCAAACTTGACGCAGATCCATCGAATTTGGCCTAATTATCTAGCAAATTGTCTGAGTTGAGGTCCTGTGCAACACTCCATGTTTACTGATGATCTCATATCAGATAAATTTATGCAATGCTTTTTTCATCAACTTTACGAGCACTTTGGATTCTATTCCTTTGGTGAAATAGTTGATCAATAGAGCAATGATTTTTTGTTACCCCTTAGTGGGCAGAAATAAGTCAAGGAGGTCCATTCCCAAGATGATGAAGGGCTAGGGGCTCATGATATATTGTAATTTGTGCCAATGTTGAAGCTACATAGATGCAAACTTCTGTCAAGGGACACAGTGTTTGGAAAATTTTTCTGCTTGGCCAAAAAATATCCTTATTTAAGAATACAATTGGTTAAGGGTTCATCCTTAGAATACCGACCACATTCAGACATTCTCTTGTATGCATCTCTTCCAACAAGCGAAGAATTTCATTCTGTTGAAAACATCAGAGGTAGAATGAAGTCGTTGCTCTTCTACAAAGGTCATTTCCAATAAGCAAATACAAACTTGCTCCAATTCTAAATCAACACAGATCCTCAACTTCTGTCAGTATTGCTCTTGTCTTCAAATATTAAAAAAATGGATTCATCCAACTTGGTTCTAATGGCACGTCAACCTCCATTACATATTCATCATCTATAATGGGCCAAGCAAGATTAAGCATTGAATTCTCATCCAAGCTTCCTCCTTCGAAAATTAGATTTGCAACTTGATCTCTTTGGGAATTTGTTCCATTTGAAAATTCTCAAACTTATCTTTCACTTGGCCTTTAAAAGATATCTACTCAAAGAGTTTTCTTTCAACTCATAAAATTCATTCTTTGGTTAAAAACCTGTTACACATCTAAGAATATATGTGGACTCTTGGCAAATATGCCTGCAGCAAATCATAGTCTAACAATCAAAACTTTGTACCCGACTTAGTTGTTGGTGAACAAAAATCATATATTAATGGAATTCATCAGGGAAACCATGCCCGCCCTTACTCCATTGCTCGAAGCCTCGTTTCCATACAATTTCATAATAAGTCATTTTTCGTTAGCACTTCTCGAGATTTGATTGTCGTTTAGGGTGCACCCGCTATTTGAAACTTGTTGAGTTGTATCGACCATTTCAAAAGTTGTCATAAATGCTCGGTTTGGCTAGTAACAATTTCAAGGGATGATCCATAGCAAATTGAATAAGATGAGATTGGAAATAAAAACAAAACCTACTTGTTATGATGATAAGAGCAAAAGCAAGTTTCTACAGTATGGAGTATCTTAATTCAACTTCACAAATTACTTTGTTCGCGACAATACATTTCTTACTCTCCTCATTTCGGATAAGTACAAAGCTTCCGACCTTATCTTCAACTCCTATATACAAGAGCAAGCTCCACCAAATCGTAAGCTTAGTAGCATCAAGGGCAAGATTAATAGCAACTTCACTTAAATTTTTTACTACTTCTTAAGGTCATGAAGAATGATGAGCGTTTCTTTTCACCTGACTTCGAGATAAATCGGCACAATTCAGCTATCCAATCGCCGAACTTTTATAATTCTTTGATTTTTTTCGATGTTGGCATCTTCATTATAGCTTCTACCTCGAGATTTATTTTTAGGCTTTCAAAAGTCAACAAGAATTTTAAAAAATTTTCAGACTGGCTCAGAAGATACACTTTTTTGGGTTCATCCTCATGTTTCATTGAGATCCTCAAGATATTATTGTGAGCTTTTACTTTTAACCAGCAAGTCAACCATGCAAATATTTATATTTCTACCATTTTGTTCATTAAAATATGTCCCATAATCCTCTAGTAAGTCACCCCAGCATTCTTAAATTCAAAGAGCATGACATTGAAGTAGTATAATAAATCACTTGTGATAAAAGTCGCCTTCTAGACATCTATGGAATGCATACAAAATTGATGATAATCTGAGAAAGCATCTAAAAAGTTCATGATAAATAACTGGTTGTGGAATCAACTAGAGCATTGAATTTTTTATAATGAATAATTATCCTTGGGATATGCTAAATTCATATTCATAAAATCAACACCTATCCATTACTTTCAATTCTACTTATGTATTATTATCACAACAGAGATTGAATCTGGATTTGGCACCCTTAATCTTGATTGAGCGACTTTTGTACTTCTTTATGTGACAGGACAACCAAGGTTGTTGCTGCGGTTGATTCTTTGTTTGATCCATCTAACACTCTGATCCACATTTAATTGATTATAACAAACTTCCAAAATGACACATGGCATTTTTCCGATGCAGACACCCTATATGCTTCCTTGATGTAGCCAGTGGCTTAAAAAAATGTAGCCGGTAATTTATCTCTATATTCAACATCAAAAGTTGAACTAATTAGAAAACTGTGATGGGGGTTTTCTCTAGTGAGGTATGTCTTAAATCTTTTTCGGAGTTTACGAGCTATTTCCAATTTATACTTCCACATTTGTTGCCTTCTCTTAGCTTCTACCTATAGTTTTGAGGTAATAATTACTCAACTGATTTAAGTCGTCATGAGTCATGACCAATTCTCCTTTGTTGGGGAATCTCACCGCTATATCATATGTAGAGACAATTACCCGAAAATTGTTAAGCTGAGGACACTCGAATATTGCATTATAAATCATCAAAGCAATGACTATACAAAGTCTTCCATCATCAAGAATTGAAGATCTTACTAGGTGATCGATAGGGTTATTACTTGTTCGATGTCTTTTTTTTAATCCAGAAACCCACATAGGGTGCTTAATTTGTCCGATAGGGAGGTTCTTTCAATCAGCAGTATTTGAAAAATCACTCTTCAAAATAAAAAACTAAGCTTCTTGTATCAATCAACATGCTTCCAATTTAAAGTTTGAAATCAAGGTTGTTACTATGATTGAATCATTATAGGGTTTTTGTCGACTGGGCTATGAAATTCAGAGAATATAATTGGTATGACATACATTGCATGTGACCACATAATTGTTGTCAAGTTCACATCTTTTGATCTTGGTTGCTTTGAAACTAGATTGATGAGCAGCTTCTATGGATCTGCTAAGATGGCAAGTACGGTTCCTACGTTATGGATAGAGCAAGCATGAATGAGTTTGTCCCTTCTTCAACCAGCTCCTTTCCTGGCCTTCTGTTGGGTCCGCTAATTTGAATTCCTTCACCTTTCTTTCTTGAATAAGCTCTTCTACCAAACAGTGGAGGTAATGATAGTTATCCGTATCATGCTCATGATCCTTATGGAATTCATAGTCTTTGGTCATATATTTTGGGTGAGGTCACTCCTTCATAAAGCCTAATTGCCATAGATATTCTTTATTCTGAATGAATTTGATCGACTCGGTCATTGATACCCGCAGTGGGGTAACTCGAGATAGTGTGTTTGTATGGCGGTGTTTGATTGGCTACCTGATCAGTTGGTTAGAGCAAATATTGATGGATTTGTGGGGGGTTCGTAGGGTTGTCAGATGGGTTGCATGCAAGTCAAGCCTAATTGTAGCACCTTAAAATGGGTTGACTCATGATGGTTTTGGATCAATTTTTTTACTTGATCTTGCTCCCTATGGTTTTTTAAGGGAGTTCTGAACTTATTACTAAATTCTTCAGCATTTATATGAGCATTGGAAATTTTAATCAACTTAACTAATGTACCTGACTTTAGTAGATCAAGTGCATTGTTTGAATGGTCCCTATCAAAGTCCCTCAATTAGTATGGCTTGCGCAAGAACCGGATCCAATTGCTAATCTCGAACATTTCTCTCTGAAACCCAAATATAACATTCTTGAGGTGCTCAAAATATTTCTGATGCAATCTCAACAATGCTTACAAGTTGTTCTATGACAATTGGGCACTGTCCAATTGACTGGACATCTACTTAAATTACATGATGGAAACGATGGTTCCAATTGGTGAGCAAAAAAAAAGACCTACGAGCCAACTCTTTGAAGGTTGCAAAAAATAGTCAACACTTCAATGTGTCATTAATGTTGCGAAGTGACACCAACAACTTGACGTAAGCAACGTAGTCAATTGGGCAGTTCAACCTCTATAATCGTCAAGATGAGGAATCTTGAAGCTTGGGGGAGGCCTAGTCTCAACAACTTTTCTAGAGAAGGCAATCATGAATTGGGGACTCGTTTTTACCCACCCCTCAAGTCTCATGGACAAAAAGATAAACTACTGTTTTTTAAATCAAAATAATAGGATTCTTCTAAGGATAGCAATATTCTTTCTTTGAAATTTCTTCTCCTAACCGCCAAGTTAGTCAAATCCTTTATCAAGTGCATTCACAATGTCACTCTTGTTTATTGGCCCAAGGATTTTTGGATTAATCTTTTAAGTTCATTGCCTATTATCTCTTCTAATCTCTCCTCCACTTTAATCAACTATCTCACGGTTACGAAGTATCGTTTGTCCATATAAACATCTTCTCTTGGGACTACTTTTCCAACTAAATCTGTTGGGTCCTTTAGCAAATTTTTGAATGTCATTTCTAGTTTGAGGCATGCAACCACACTCACTACAACTAAAAGGGTGTTAAATCACAAACTATTCATGAGCCACATCAGAACCTTGTAACTAAGAGTAAATGAGAAAAAAAAGCAAGAAATAGGAAGCAAAACCCACTAGTGAATGGCCAAGTGTATAACAGAGTAAAGAAGAGAAGAGATGAAGAACTAAATCTTTGGATCTCCCCGAGATTCCCTACTTATAGTTTAAGGTTTGGAGTCTCAAACAGCACAAGCAAAGCTACCAAATGAAAAATACACATATAAAAAGGACTAAGAAACACAAGAGATTGATTGCCTTAATAAAGCTTGGTCGGGGAGTCAGATCAACTGAAGGGCCACACATTTCTTAATGGATCAGAGTGTATCTATAATATTCGTCAAGCAAGTCGGCATGCTTGAGTAAATTATTACATATTCCAATGGAAGATGATTCTTTTCACCTTGGGAATGTCAAGCAGTAACTTAGTAGGAGCCGGCCTTGGGTCAAGTTGTCAAACATGGCCTTTCACAGAGAAAAGCCCTGAATAGATATATCGCGGGCACTTATATTGATATTACCTACCAAGTAATAAATCAGAATAAAGTAAAAAGCCAACAAATTAGGTCTTGATTTGTGTTCATGCATTCTATCATCATTTGATTATTCAATTAATGCAGTCAAACCGAAATTAGTGATTCAAGAGAGTACCCAAGGACGAAATTAGCAAAGTCAAAATATGAGTAATTTTTTATCCTATGGAAAAGTGACAACTTCACAACAACAATATCCACCAAGCAAGCTAAAGTGCGTTAGCTCGATGCTACAAAATGAGCCAATCAACAAACAAACAAAATGACAACTCAGAACCATGAATATTGAAAGCAAGGTTCTCCAAATCATAAAGTCTCAATCAAAATATGTTGAATGAAAAACTTTGAACAGTCTATGCTGATCTGTTCAATGAAAACTTGGTCAAAAAGATGATTTTCTTGTTATTGAAATGATGATCTACAATGTAAGATCCAAGTGTGCTCGAGTATGATTTCATTTTCAACACATGAAGCAAACAAAAAAATAATGCTGCTTTCAGGAGAAAATAAACAGTATGCAATATGATTTCAGATTTGTTATCAACAAAAGATTATCCTAATGCAATAGTGACACAACGTTGATGTAAATAAGGATAATGTGTAAAATGACCTTCATTTTTAAGAGCTTGCCTTGCTCTAGAAGAAATCGCCAGTATGTGGTCAAAAAGCAGTGGAACAGGACCATCGGGATTATCTGCTGCTAAGTATGGAAGCGGCAAGAAAACTTTGCCCATTGGATTTGCCCATGGAAGCCTTTTAGAGTCGCCCCCAGCATGAAGTAATAGAATATGCCATTTTGCGAAGAAGTTTACAATTGCCTGAGCTTCATTGGCATAGGTGGTTAATTCATTTGTTGAAGTTGTTATGTTGTCCTTGTTATTTAACACCTACGCAAAAAGTGTACAAACTAAAATCTATAACATAAGCACGGGTGGTCAAGCAATGCTTTTAGGAAAAGGTAATAATTTAAAAACAAAAAAGCTAATATATTAGATTCAAGTATGGATAACGAAGAAAAAACCTTTTACCAGGTGTGTGACCACATTAAAAATACGATAAATATCCAAAATATATGGAAAAACATAAAATAAGTAATTTGTCAAATCTTTTGAAATTCCTAATTTTAGTATCTTCGATTTTTATTCTTTTCTATTTTTAGAACATTATATTGTTACTAATTTATGACTAATGTTTGCCTTCTGTAATTAGCTATATTTATGTTTTATAAAAGAAAACAAAATGTAATGGTCATGTACTGCAATCCATTGCTTAACAAGGAGCATAGACAATGAAGTTGTCTTCCAAATTGAAGCATATAAGTCGACAAATGTCAAAATAACGAGCTATTGTTCGTCATTACTAAGTTGAAGTGAAGATATTTGACACATACCAAATTGATGAGTATCAATATGTCCACTTAGGTTGATGAAAAGCTATTTGCCACTAGGATGGATGAGTAGTTGATTGACACTTGACTTGATTAAATCATCTGTACGAAATTTACTGTGACATTACAGAGTTGACTTGGTCAAATCATCCTTTAGGCTAAGTCGAATTGCCATGTGAATTTATACTTATTTAAAGTAGGTCTGCCATGTACTTGGCAGAAATGTATTTTTGAATTCTTCCATCCTAGTATTTGGCTATACAACAAAAAGATGGAGATTTTTTTATTGATGCATTTAATAGCTCTAAAAATTCTTCCCATTTCTCAATCTCTAGATATATTGTGTCTATATTGACCTACATACCCTCAAAACCAATCACATACCCTATACTAAAGAAAAACCATCTTAGTTCCAAGAATAGTTCCCAGAGAAATTTTTCAACTTCTGTTAAAGATTAACCATCTCGAAAAAGTTTTTGCAATTATGAGATTCGACCAAATTTCGTTTGCATGCCCCTTTAAATTGAATAATAATATCATTAAACATAAGCATTATAAAATTCGTCAAAATCTCAAGACCAAAGAATTTTGATTGAGACTGGAGCAAAAATCCAATCATGGCCTCCATGAATAGGATTGGAGGAAAAGAACCAGAAACATGGACCTTAGGATCAAAGGTAACAACCAATCTGCACATGTAGGAACATATTTTGCTTTGAGGGCAAAGACCAAACCAGCCTTCTCAAACTAATTCCGATCATCTAATTCTTTCTTCTGCATGAAATTCAATTAGGTAGACAAACGAGTTAATCTACTTGCAATACTCATTAATTACATTCAAAATATTCAAAGTTTAATATATCAAAAGAAATACTCCAAGAAATTTAGGTGTAAACTCTGATTTGCAAAATTCTGTTTGCAATTTAACCATCCACTTTATACACCGTCAAAACGAATACTACAGCCTTTCTTTCCTTTTAACCAAATTACCAAAATTAAAAATACAGAAAACCAATTTCTCTAAGACAGAGTTAAAGGCGGCATTACCTGGGGGGAAATGAGACCAACACGGACCAGATAACGAGCGAGGACAGAAATGGCGTGGAGAGTGGCGGCCCCGGAGCCTATGCGGGCGCCGTGGGGATCGGGGACGACGAGCGTGACGGTGGAGTCGGCGATGCGACCGATGCGCCTGGCCCGCAAAAGCTGCCATTCGTATAGGGCGGCCTGCTCGGGGCTTGCCGCCGTTGGGCCGATGGGGTCGGTTGGGGGCACCTGGGGTGGTTTGTCCCGCCGTTAGCACGATGGCATCCCACGTCGGAGCCCTCATGGGGTACCTTACAGAAAGACGGAGGCGATACCATGACCTCCGAAGAGAGTCGGCGCAATCCTCTCCGCTGCATTTCCTCGGCCTCCTCCTCACCGACGATGAAGACTCCATGCTCTCTCTCTCTCTCTCACTCTCACTCTCTCTCCCCGCTGGCGGCCAAATCTACCAGTCAGCCACCCGGTTAGGCTAATGATCAAATGATTTTTTTTTTTATTGCTCTCTCACTTTCTCTTCGCCGGCGGCCTAATCCAGTCAGCAACCTCGTTAGACTGATGATCAAATGATTTTAATTTGGGGTCAAACAACAAACAAGCTTATATCCGCCAACCGAGCAAGGAGTGCGAAGATAGTGCGGAGACAGAATTTTTTACGAATTCAAACAATATGAAAAAAATTGTTATGGTCTTGTTCTTACGGTGTTTTGATCATATTTTATTAGTATTTTTGTAGTATTTTGATGTTATTACGGTGATATTCTTATGATATTTTTGTTATATTATTTTATTGATATTCTTGTTGTATTATTATCATATTCTCGTGATATTAGAGTGATATTCTAGTGGTATTATGGTGATATTCCAGTGGTATTATAGTGGCACTCTGGTGATATTATGTGATATTTTAGTTTTATTATTATGATAGTTTGGTGATATTATGGTGTTGTTCTAGTGATATTATGATAATATTATGATAATATTTTGGTGATATTTTAGTTGTATTATAATGATATTATGGTAGTATTTCATTAGAATTATTGTGGCATTCTGGTTGTAATATAATGATATTTTTGTGGTATTATTGTGGTATTCTTATGATATTCTAATATATTATGATAATATTTTGGTGTTATTCTTGTGATATTCTGCTGATATACCCGAATACTACTAGAATATCACCAAAATACTACAAGAATACCAGCAAAAGATCACCATAATGCTAACAAAATACCACAGAATATCACCAGAATATCACAATAATATCACCAAAGTATCATCATAATACCGTCAGAATAACACAAAATTACGACCAAAATATCACTAGAATACCATCAAATAACGACTATAATATCACCAAAATAGCACTGGGTGTCTTTCTGGAGATTCTGATGATATTTTGCTGGCATAACAGAATATCATCAGAATACCACCAAAATATCATCATAATACCACAATAATACCGTCAGAATATCATGATAATATCATCAAAATATCACCAGAATACCATCAAAATACCACCAAAATATCACTATAATAACACCAGAGTACCACCGGGTGGTTTTCGGGCTTAATTATGTGAAAGAATAGTGTTATTCATATTTTTTAAATTTGTGAAAACTCAGTCCCATCACTTTATAAATGGCACTGGATTATTGGAGTCTGCACCGTGCGGACTTCAAAATATTGCGTTCATAGTCACAAAAAGTCCCTAACAATATAATATACATTAAGCATATAAAAAAAAATGATTGCCCTTATCCAAGTCATCAAATTAATAGAGAAAACTAATTTGGAAAGCAAAATCTCATGGTAGAGGAAGGTCTTGCAATCCCAACTATAAAACTCTTATGTCCATGTATTTGATTTGAATGCTACTTCTCATCTGATGGTCATGTTTTTCTACGCAAATCAGTAGTTTGAGCAGACACAACTTCAGGGACAAAGCAGACCTTCAAGAATGAAATGGTCAGGACAGGAGTAACTGATTCTTTTAATTTCGTTCGGGAACCAGTTGATCCTATCGAATCACCAAATATGAGAATGACATGCTTGAAAATACAGTGCTACCAAATGACGCAGCAGCAGCAGCTTATGACAGATCAAAAAGAGAATAAGATGGAATATATCACTTCTGTTTAAAAATAAAATACTGTAACCAGGAAACTATAAGAACATAAGTTATCTGTATATAAAGTCAATACAACTAAAAAAAGATGATAATAAGAAAAATAGGCACATCAGTTGTCGACCACCTATATTTAGTTAATGTTATCTTCCTCATCTTCATAACTCAAAAAATGAGTCTGCAACTTGAGGCTTTCACTTTGTATGATCTCAACCAAATTGAAGCCAACGTCTGTAACTTGTAGTGTTTTCTGTTCCACTAACTACACAAATAAGGGAAAAATATTAGAAAAAACAAGTTTTTATTCTTGTCTACTAACGCAGCATAAGGGTTTAATTGAAATAATGATCAAACTGAAGCTGAAGAAGTGCACAAGTGATTAAACTATCAATAATAGCTAACCCTTTTTTATGGAAGCCAAAAATTATGAGTAATTCGATGTAGACTCCAATCCCTCACCAAAAGTTGTCAAAACTCTATATATATATTCCTACTCAATTACACAAACAAAAAAGAAATTACAATGTCAATGATGCCAACTTAGTACCTTTTGTGGTTTTAACTCATTGGCAAAAAACATCTATTTCTGGCTTTCTCAAAAACCCTCTCCAAATAAACCTGGCAAAATTCATGTAAAATCAAACTAGGTTAATGAACAAAAGTTGAACTAACTATAACTCGATAGTGTAAAAAAAATTTAAGAAAAAAAACCAAATATTTTAAAAAACTTGCTGCGGAATGGGATGATCTTCAACTTTGTACACATCTCATTCTAGCCACATGAAGTGAATGCCAAGCATCAACAGGATCTTCAGCAAGCAGAGAACTCAGAGCAAGCGCATACGAGCACAGGCCTGCAGGAAAACAGAATGCTCAAACGAAAGATGGCTTTGAGAAGGGATATATAGATCAATGAAAAGGAAAAAAGAAAAAACGGAGAGGTAGGGCGGAAACCGGAGAGAGGTGCGCGAGGAGGAGGAAGGAGATGAGGGAATGGGGCAATGGATAGGGAGCCTGCTGCGATGGATCTGGAGAGCTATGGCTGGAAGAAGGCCGAGGCGAACGACTCCGGCCGAGTGAGGGAAGGAGACGAGGCGAAGAGTGAAATGGAACAGGGTGCTCAGGTGGCTCAGGTGGCTGCTACGACCAAGCGTACAAGTTTAAGGTGGTTATTTTGAAATATTTGATGTTTGGGTTTTTTATTTGTTATTTATGAAGTTTTAGGGGGTGTTTTGGTAAAATCCTTTTTTTTTTAATTTAACATAAATATGATTTATCAAATCTAAAGTGGTGTTTGGCACATTTTAAATAAATTGTATCTAATCAAATAATTAATTGGCCAAGTTAAAAAAGAATCAAAGTATTGACAGTATTTGTCATAAGAACTGGTTAATATTTATAGGACCAAGTTTAAAAAGAGAGCTTACTGACCATTATAGGTATTAGGGACAACTTATGAAGCAACTAAGGGTATAAAGGAGTCGAATGCGAGCAAGCCTGGACTAACTCACTCGTGTTCAGCTTGTTAAAAAATATGGTTGTTTGTATTCGGTTCGTTTGTGCTTTGAACACAAAAATTTTGTGTGTTCTGCTCGTTTGTTTAGCGAGCTGAACACGAATTGTTCGCGAACCAAAAATTATTTTGACAACTCTAGTCAGGCATGCAGCCATTAGCGGTGTAAAAGAGCCTAGCTTGAGCGAGTCCAGACTCGACTTGTTAAAAAACATCATTGTTCATGTTCGGCTCGTTCATAGATCGAGCTCAAAAAATTTGTTTGTGTGTGGCTCACTTGTTTATCGAGTCGAACACGAACTATTCACGAGCAATCAGCAATTTTGACAATGTAATCACACAACAGTAGAATGTTAAGGGTATGAGAAGATTTAAATCTTATTAATTATATTAAAATAATCATTTAAACAGAATTTAACATATTTTTATTCTAATTTTAATTAGCACTTTTAATTGACGTATAGTCAATTAAATTACTTGAAATTAATATTAAATATATATATATATATAATTATTTTGAGTCAAAATCAGTCGAAAAAAAATTTTGTTCAAGTTCAGATCGTTTATATATCGAGCATAAAAAAATTGTTCATGCTTGGCTCATTTGCTTGGCGAACGAATCAAACACAAGCTACTTAACATGCCGAACACTAGCTATTCGCGAACAGCAAACCGTTTTGATAGCCCTATAAGCAACATAAGAAAAGAAGTAACATTTTTTGCATTTTAATATTAAATGCAACGGGGAGTTTAGCTTAAAATTAAATGAAAGAGTTGCTTCCATTTTCATTAAAATACATGAGCCTTTTGCGTTTAATACTAAACGCAAAAAAGATTTGTCTTTTACACCTCCACCAAATTATCAATACCTTCTACCCCTCACCCTCCTGTCATGCACACCAATATCCCTCTCCCTCTCTCCCTCTCTCCCTCTCTCCCTCTCTCCCTCTCTCTCTCTCTCTCTCTCTCTCTCTCTCTCTCTCTCCCTCTCTCCCTCTCTCCCTCTCTCCCTCTCTCTCTCTCTCTCTCTCTCTCTTCTCTCTCCTCTCTCTCCTCTCTCTCCTCTCTCTCTCTATCCTCTCTCTCTCTCTATCTCAACGACGAAGTAACCAACTCCCATTTTCACAAAAATCAGGTTCCTTCTGTGCTTCTTATTTAATAAATTTTTTTATGGAATATTTTTTCAGAAAAATTATATGGAATTTATTTTGTAATTGTTTTTTAGTCATGATAATAATCTGAAAAAATAATTTCAATTTTTAATGTATTTAAAGAAATTACAGTTGAGGGGCATTTAATGAATTGCTTGAAACATATATTAGACAAAAAAAAATTGTTATAAAAGAATTATAAATTAATATTTTTTAAATATAAAATAATGGTTGTGTTTTTTCAACAAACTCAATAATAATAATAATAATAATAATAATATAGTAGTAATAAAAATAATAATAACAATATATGTATAGTAAGAGTATTAATGTGGCAACTCTTTAATATCAGAGTCATGGATGGAGACACAATTCCCTTATTATAAGTTTAAGGTGGGAACCTTCACCAATAA